ATCCAAAGGCTCCAAGGGACACCTCGCTTCACTTCCATTTGCTTAGGCCCCCGGAAAAAAGTAAAAATGATTCCAGTATTGATAGATTCCCTTTCAAACCAACAGGGGAAAATAAAAAGCTCAGGTGATATCCCCAACAGCATGCGGTGCTCTTTTTAGTGCTCGCACCACCCCGCAGCCCTCGCAGAACCTCTTACCTCAGGTCCGCCCCGGACCACCCCGGAGCCTATCTGGGCTGAGACCCCAAAGCTTCAAGCTGTTGGGGGAAAAATATTAACTAAATGGAAGTTCAAGTTGCTCTTTGTGCCTCAAGGCAAAACTGCGCCCGACAAAGTGCGTGATCCTTTCTGGAGAAAACGGAACAAGCACTAGCACAGCACCTCAAGCTAATCGAAGCTATAAAACACTTCATCCAACCATTTGGAGGGTCATGCCACCAAGAAGGGGGTCGAGAGGCACAATGGATTCCCGCTATTTCACCTTAAAGCATCAAACTGCCAGAAACGTCACAACAATGGCAACCACAGGGGTAACCAAAAAATCCACCAACGCTTTGGCAAATCGAGCTGAAACTAGCCTCGTAGTGTGAAGAATACCGCCAGCAAGGAAAACTCGCAAGCTCAGTTCCAAACAGTGATGTTCAAAGCCACAACACTTACCTGTGTTGCTAACTCTCCGAACAAGTTTGAAAGAAACTGTTGAGAAACCTAAGAACGAAAGCTTCAAGTTCGCCAACAGGTAGGTTCCCTTGGTGTGGGGTTTGTCACACTCTGTGATCACACGGACCACACACCCAGCACAGTCCGATTCAGTCGAGCGCACGCTCGCATGAGCGCCGGCTTGTGGTTCAGCACTGGAAACTCCTAGCGCAGGTGGTACTGTTGAGTGTTGACAAGCAATTTTTGGTTTAGGAAGCCTACTCTCTGGGGGATTCAGCAAAAATCAAGTAGCTCTGTGTGTCCATTTGAGCTACCATTGGGTGACAAGTTTGGCATATATGCAAGAGAGGACCGGTCACACATGATGTCCATGTCAGGTCGTTTCTCAGACGACCGTAGCTGACGATTGCCAAGCCACGTCGCGGACTTGCGACGGCTCCAAACTCACGAGTGCAGTCTGATTGATTTGGTTTGGCCCTGGGTTGCCTTCCCGAGGCTTCTTTAGTCGTCTTCCCACTGGGTGTCGTCTTCCCAGATTCCTCCTTGAGGGGCGTCTTCTTGGGGATATCGAACATTTGGAGGAGGTTGGAGAAGAAAGTCAGTGAAAGTGGTCGCCAAATAGGGTACCCCCTCATTGCCATTAAAAGGATACCAAAAAGAGCCCGCCCCCTGGAGGGGTCCATGCTTGAAGTGAAGGCACGACTTGCCTGTTGGGAATTCTTCCCTTCCCTGCGAAGGCAAACCAAAGGGACGACCAAAATTCTACCCTTGCGGCTTGGTCACAAGGTCCAACCAGTGTACGTTGCAGCCTCCACCTTGTAGCAACACTTTGTACATTGCAGCCCTCCACTGCAAAATGATCAGAACTCAAAAAAGCGAATCTGAACTCATGAAGGCAACTAGAAAGGAGCAAATACTGTAAAATCCTGAACTGCTACTAACAAAGATAACCAGAAAGGCAGCAACTAAAACCTGAAACCTTGAAAAGTAAAAAAACAAAAGCTTTCCCACCACGACAGCGCCGGAATGTGCTTCGAGCCTCAACTACGAGCTTGTCAATCTCTGCCAGAGACACCTCAAACAGCTCAGAGCTGCCAAGAAGAAACATGAGCCAGCTCAAAATAACTTGTTGTTGAGGGTACATGGGAAATTCATGAGTCTCCCGGTTCTTGTCTGAAAATTTAGAGCTCGTCCCCCATCAACTTCTGAAATGAACAATCGACAACTCGCAATTTGGACCGAATTCACAGTCCGTAGCTTTTGGGCATACACCAACCTCCAATGAGCCATCCTTTCCTACCAGGCTTTGTCCTTCCTTTGAGGGAACATCTTGTTTCTGTGGTTTTAAAGGGGGCCAACCGAAACATCGCTTATTTTTGGGGGTCCCCTACAAAAGTGACACACCCATTTGTCGCTTTCAACATGTCGACTGGTCGATGCAAAGCGGGTGGGCTTTTCGGTCACAGAAGCGGGAAGCTGCCACTCATTCCGCGATAATACCAAGACTTCTGGGATTGCTTCAGAGGTTTTGCCTTGCTCTTGGTATTCAAGTGGCAAGCCTGTATTCCTTGAATACCAAGAATAAGGCAAAAGCACGAGCTGCCCAGAAGCCGAGGAACGCTGGGCTGACATGTATCAACTGCAGCATGCCTCCGGTTCTCTTCCGGCAAAACAAGTTCAAACCTGGGCGAACACAGTCGACTTGTTTTCCGGCTGGGCTGGTTGCCCATTTGCCCTCCACAAAAGCCAGCGGTTCAAATCCCCAAACCAGCAATCAAAACCATCAACGAAAGGTTGCCTGAAGTTTGACTGGTTGAAACCAAGCACAACAAAGACCAGGCACGCGGATTTTGCTGCAAGGCAAGTCTAGCAATGAAACAGCCAACAGCATCTACATCCTCAGTAGCCTGCTGCGAAGGCTATGGATCAAGCTGGCGGAATACACAAAGCAACACCTACAACTAAAATTATGTGGCTTGAACGGTGGGCAACTATCAAAGCGAAGTCCCGTTTAGCGGAGTTGCCAGATTTTCTAGATGCTCTACTTCTCCTCCTCCTCCTCTTTTCCTCAGGCAGTCTCCTTTTCTTCTTCTGCTTCTTCTCCATCTTCTTCTTCTTCTCTTTCTTCTTCTCATGGCATGGTTCTGCTTCTGTCCCTGATTATTTGGATGTGGCTCAAGGATAGGTACCCAAAATGGAACCTTGGTATATGGCAGCAAGACTAAAACCTGCGTAACCCTACCTGTTTAACTTTGAGCCACACCCATTTCTATGTTCATGCTCGTTCGATCTCTCAGATGCCCAGCGGCCATGGGGAAGAAGGGCACCCTGGCACCGCTGTTTTGTTGGTTGCGGTTTCAACCCTTACTCCCAAAAAAAAGGAAAAAACAAGGGGCACCACTGGGCAACAGAGTCTTCTCCGCTCTTCCTTCCTTCCCAGCCTTTCACAAGGCTGGAGCCACCGCCGCCAAGGGGCGATCTCATTGCCGTTGAAGTCCAGCCTACGCCACATGGACCTGATGCCCAGTCGGTTGCAACCACGGGGGTTGCTTCCATGTGGGTGTGTCTTTTTAAAGGAACCGGATCCCCCCAAAAAAAAATCGAGGGTTGATTCCTAGCCCATTCTTTCCAACCATCGTTCTTTTCAAAAGCCATCTATTTTCCCTGGGATCCCTGGGTTTCCGGAGGTTCTCTAGAAAGAAGGATCCCTGGAAAGAATGGGGAAGGTACCGATAGAAATACTTTCTCTTTGATTCCCTTTGCATCACAGAGAGAAGCCCTAACCTACCATATCCTACGGCCATGGCACAGGACGAGCGCCTCGCTAGCCAGACACATCGCACCGTGCTGTTTTTTTTTGGCCGAATTAGACTTTCGCAGGTCTGAATTCCAGATCTCGTGCTCCAGTGACCGCGCAGGTGCTCTACTTGGTGGTTGGCAATGCCACCTTCCAGCCATTCTCATTGCTGCACGTTGCATTGCCAGCACAAGCGTGCATGGAGGGGCGTGTCTCGAAATGGGAGACCCGCAACATGATTGTTTGGCTTCCCTGCAAAGAAGATTCACAAAACAAAAATCGAGTACCCAAGGAGACACACCCAAAGTCCAGACGACGGTCCCTGAATTCAGCGCATTCGTGAAGCAAACACGATGCATTCGCTGGGCCGACTCCGAGTTGCCACCTCTTTCAAGAGCGCAACCAACAGGTCTGTGTCAACATGGGGTGACCTCCAAATAGTCGCCCCCGTAGTGTGTTTCCTTTTGGCTCTCCTTTGAAGGAGGCTACAGAGGGTACCGAGCCTCAGAAAACGTTTGCAAGTCGCATGCATCACCCCAAGCTCAAATTAAATTGCCCAAGAAGTGATGTTCAAGCCACTCAAAGCAAAGCAATTCATGTAAAGACAACAAAATCCAAGCCATGTAAACTAATATCAAAAGAGGCTCTCTGAAGTCGTCTTGAGAGGACCAGAGGACCAGAGTTCACAGCCCACAGCCGGGTGAAGGGCCAGGCATCTGGGAATCTCCTTCCCTTCAGACCCTGAAACGTTCCAAAGACCACGTTTCGGTACACGACCGCAAATTTGTTTTCACGTTTTGCCGGTTGAAATGAAGAAGAAAAGAACACCCAAAGGAGTTTGGGAAACTGGGCCAGCTGGGTCTGGCAGGGGTCACTGGATTTCCGTAAATCAATAGCATTGAGCAATTTACTGGTGGTTTGCATGGAAGCAATCGCCACTTTTGGTGGTTCCGAAAGGGACATGGAGGAAACCCTGTCTAGCAATGCAACCAGACCAAATCTCTGCCGTGCTTGTTTGATCAGCTTTTGGGATTGCCGTGCGTGCATGTAAGTAATGGTGTGTCTTTGTTTAGGGGACCCCCAAAATGTTGGGCTTCCTTTTGGTTTCTCTTCACACCCACAAGAAAAACAGGGTACCGGTGCCATCAACAAAAAGACAAAACGCCAAGTCTTCCAAGAAGCAAAGTGGTGAAGCGCTCCACTTTTCAGGGCCCCTGAAGGGGGCCAAGCTCTGAACCCAGCTCAGAAGCTCAGCGCCAGCGTGGGAGGTTGCCCTCCTCACTGAGCTGGAAATCTTTGATGTGGAGCCCTCCGGCCATCGCAAGGTATGCTTTTGGAAAAGTTGCCAAACAAACATCTCGCCTAAACTAGGTTGGGTTACTACAATGCGTAATGCTTGTGCGTTTGACAATCAGAAACCTTATAATGCATGCCCCATGCGGCCCAAGTGCCCATACACATGGATGACTGTCACGCGTTGGTGCATGCAACAAATGTACGTGATTTCTTTTTGGCTGCACCAAAAAAAGCGCTCGGCTTTTTAATCAGAGGTGCCGACAAGCCTGGACTCACCTCCGAACCCACCCGGTTGTTCAAGCATGGAAGCTTCGACAGGTGAAGTTGAGCTATACACATTCTTATCACAACATATCCCAGCAGTTCTACTTTTTTGAGGGGACTTGTACATGATTCAACCCACAAATGTATTTCCGAAAAAAATGGGGGCCAAAAAACATGTGAAAGGTCAAGGTTCCTTTGTGGGAAGATAAGACCCCCCAACAAATGGCTGTCTTCCTTTTGCTTTCTGTTCAAATCAACTCCAGATCCCCCTCCCCCAACCCTCCTGTGGAAGCTGCGGCGCCTGCGGTCGGCTGCTGAAACGGGGTCAGCCCGCGAAACCATTTTGAGGTCCCCCTAAAAATGAAGATATACGGCTCAAATTGTTGCTGCGTGAGAAGTAGTGGCCTAAAAGGTTCAAGATACCGAAAGGGACCGAGATTTGGGCCGACAAATACCCAACTCCCCCCAAAAAAATCAACTTAACAGCAGACATGTTCTCGTGGGGCTTTTTGGGACACCTTAAAACCAAAATAAGCCATGATCGTATGGTCAAAAGGTAGGTATTTCTTCCGCCCCTCTTATTTTGCGTCTAGACTTTCAAAGGAACCTCCCTTGGAAATGATATGCACCGCTAGAGGTCCATGTTCGCAAGCTCTGGAGGAACCAAAGGCCTGTGGAAGCCTTTGGTTCAAAGGCTTCAAATCGAAGCTTTGGGGGGGTGGTGTAGGTTCAGGGGATGGCCATAAGATGGGGCCATGAAATTGTGCCGTCTGTTCTTGTCATCCAACTGCACCGTTGCCAGGCCCTTCTCCTGGGCCGCTGCTGGTTTTCTAGGACAAATCGGATCGGGCTCGGTGTCTCAAAGTTCTGGAAACCCTTGGAACAAAAAAGGAGAAAAAAACAACAGCACCTTTGGTCCATCACTTTGCGACACAGATTCCCGGGTCCCTCTAATTGGTGGTTGCGGGAGGTGTTCCGAAGGGTTGCCCATTTACCTCTGCGAGAACCAACCCGAAAGCCAAGCTACCAACGAAGGGTTGCCGGACATTCGCCCAAACCTCCAGGTGATTGGTGTCCTCTTGATTTCCCAAACAAAAACAAAAACAAGAAGCCCTCCGACCCCCTTTTTGTTGAGACTTTTTGATTTCCCAAACTTGTTGAGACCTCAAAACTAAAACATTTCCCCTGTTGATTTCCCTCCCCGAAAATGTTGAGCCCGACCCCCTTTTTTCGGCGCCCCCGACGTTCGGCTGCTTCCGCCCCGCGCCCGGCCGCGCGCCGCATCGCGCATCGCGCCTCCTTGTTGCGGCGCAGGGGCGGCGTCAGGGCCCGCGGCGGCTTGGAAGCCTTCGGCTCCTGGCGGCTTCGAAGACTTCGCCAGCGGTGAGGCTGGCACGTGGAAACCGAAAACCCAAGAACTTGGAGTCTGTGGTTGGGTGGTTTCCTTTTTCATGTTTTTTTTTTGGGGGGGCCTCCTTGGTGGTAAGACACCCTTATTGAGATCATATTCTTGGAAACAGGTCTCGAGGGCTGGGTTGGATCTTCTGACTTTAGTCGGCATTGTTCGGGCAGTTTGCATTTGTCCTCTGAAGTACAACCCTTCTGCGAGGGTGACTCTGTCAGACATGGACCTTGCTTAGTGAAAAAATGCGACCTAGGGTGCCAGGTAAATCCCTGGTCACCCGGCGGTGTATCCACGGTTGACCCAAAGGGCCAGGGACACCAAAAAAAGGACAACCTCGGGTTGATCTGGACCGTGCGAATCAGGGGAGGTTCCCTTTAATCAAGGAAACATCTATCTGCAAATGTTGTAATATGTCCAATCCTGAGATAAGGGATCCCCAAGTACAGGACCTTTCCCATGGGGCGTTCGTTTTACCCCCAGGTGAGCTGGCCATAACCTGATCTATATATATATATATAGGATGCCTTCTAATTTGTACTCCGGCATCCGAAGTTGACCTCCGAGGTATTGGCTCTAGGCACCCTTCGGCTCCTGGCTCTTTCGGCCTTGTGCCTTGCTGTCGATATCAACGAACAAGGTGTGCTAGAAGCGCCCTTAGATCATAGGATCCAGTCTCCCCCATTTTCCCGCGTCTAGATCCAACTCTCCCCCGAAGTGCGCCTACAGCCCATGCAATTCGGCTCCTCGAGCTTCTTTTCTTGGTCGTGCTCCAGCAAGTCCAAGTACCACCTGAGTCACGTCGAAACCGCGGGCCGAAACTCGCTTGGAATTCGAACCGGACGCAACACGACCATGCCTGCCCACCTCTCTGTGTGTGTGGTTTGAAATGGGGGGTGCAAAACCCAGCACGCCAGAGTTGACCAGTCAAATTAAGCAAGTTAAGCAAGGACAGTACATGGGTTTGACTCTTGAGGGTGCCCCCTTTTGGTTGATTTTGAAGGGAAGTCAAAAGGAAACCAACCAAACTAGGTACCCAAAATGGAACCCTTGTACATGGAACCAAGGACTGTCTTCTTGCGGTCCTCTTTGATTTTGACCCATACTCAAATGGCTTCGGGTTCAACTTCTGCTTACCTTTTAAAACCAACCAACGAGCTCCCTCTCCCCGATGTCCCCAAACGCCATGTCAGCTCCATGTCTCAGAACCTTGGGGCTTGCTTGAAACCTTGGGCCTGCGTACCCCGAAATCCACATGTTGGGGTTCCCCGATGGCGGTGAAAGGGACACCCAACATTTTCGAGCTTGCAAAACACCTTATGAAAACAACAATGTTTGAAAACAACAATCTTACAAATCGATCCTATGAAAACGACAATATTATATCATTGCGCTCTAGGCGTGAGAAGTTGCTCGACCCCGAGGGTGAAACCGCATAAAGTCCCAAGAAAGAAGGATATTCCATATCATGTAGCGTACGCTTGTTAGAACCCATTCAACGGGTGACCCAACTGCTAAACACATCGACTCGAACATCGCCTGGGAGGGGAGCAGGCGGTCTGCTCCTGGCGAATTCGCGGGAGATTCTTCGCCGCCGCCATGGCCTGACTGGTCCTACCCGAAGACAATGGACCAAAATGCCGGTTTAAAAGGTGTGCCAAATTTCCGGAGTTCAGAGCCGTTGCAAGAAGCATTGCAACCTTACATCGCACCTTCTGGTGACTAGTAGTGACGAAATGAGGGCCATACAGAACCCCATGGCTCCCCTTGCTATGGCTCCGAATCCGTGGAAGTTGCTTAACTTTGGCCTAAGCCAATAAAACGGGACCACAGCTAGGCCGGTCCTCTCCCTCGCAAACGTGGCCGAAATGCTGGGCCCAGCCGTTGGGCCCAGATGGTGCGTCATACTGTGCACCCTGGAATACTGATTCCCCTGTAAACACCAATGGCGTCCTGTGGTTTCAAAGTGGTGCGAAATGGATTTCGCAACCATCCACAGTACCACTAACACGTTTTTGCTTCCTGGAGGGGGCAGGGTGATGCGGTCACCCAGTTCTCTTCCCCACGCAAGGCGCCCTGGAGGCGGAGGCAGACCTCCCCAAGTCCATTTTGAACCGGCGGGTATCTCTTGCTTGCGCCCTGGACCATAGCAAGTACCCCGCCGATAGGGTTGACCACCAGCCATCACGAACAAACGATTGTTCCCCAACATGAACCTGTTGCTTTTCAGGTTCTCTTCAAACTAACCTGAAGAAGAATACCCTCAAAAACAACACAAACAAAGATGCAAAGACACAAGCACAGAAGCACAGAAAGACACAAACACACAAACACACAAAAACACAAATACACAAACGCACAAACACGCGCACACACACACAAACACGCACACACACACACACACAAACACGCACGCACGCACGCACGCACGCACGCACGCACGCACGCACGCACGCACGCACGCACGCACGCACGCGCACACGGCGCACGCACGCACACGCACGTAACGCACGCACGCACACGCACGAACGCACGCACGCACGCGCACGCACACGCACGCACACACACACAGACACACACACACACACAGAAACACACACACACACACAGAAACACACAAACACACACACACACAGACACACACACACAAACACACAAACACACACACAGACACAGACACAGACACAGAGACAGAGACACAGACACAGACACAGAGACAGAGACAGACACAGACACAGACACAGACACAGACACAGACACAGACACACACACACACACACACACACACACCCACACACACCCACACACCCACACACCCACACACACACACACCCTGCACCCACACGCACGCGCACGCACACGTGCCCACGCGCCCACGCGCCCACGCGCACGCGCACGCGCACCCACACACACACACACCACACACACACAAACATGAACACACATGGGTGTGTATTTTCTTTGGGACCCTTTAGTGGGCATCAAGTAGATAAGGAGTTATGTCCATCAGGTTCCCTCATAGGTTCCCTGATTCATAGCTCAGAACCTTCCAAGCGTGGTCCATTTATTTGTACCTGAAGTGCCCTTGTAGGGGGCCATTTTGGGGTGAGTTGACAGGTGCAAGGAAAGGTCTCATGGGTCATATTTGTTCTGGGGTTGTTGGCAAAGTTAAGCTGACTTGCCCAAAGGACCCAGGAAGAAAAGGTTAGCATTTTGGGACCCAGACTACACATGAGTGCAAGAATTGGAAAACGAAGGTCAGATCTGGATTCGGTATCATGTAGTGGCTTTTCCCAATGGTCATTTTGTGTAGAGGAGCTTTTGATCCATCCCCATGTCATGAGTCATAATCAAAACCCGGTATTCAAATGGTCTACCCAGAACCATATCCGCAGCTATTTATGGTTGCGGGTATCCCCTAACTAACTTTTTTTACCCAGTTTTTGATTGTGGCTCAATTGAGATGGATAAAAACTCCGAAAACATCTAGCAGGTATCCTTCACCCACTCAAATATCGCTGTGGGTCAAAAATATGTACCCAAAATGGAACCTTGGCAAAGGGAACCAAGGAATCCCAATGTGGTGCATATAGAATCTAGGTCCTCCAGTAGAGAGGTTAGAATAAGGGTACCGTTTCTTTTTTCTGTAGTCTATTTTAGTAGAAGAAGTCTCCCAACCAAAAACTCGGTGAGAAAGGGCAATTGCTGGGGGGCCTAGGAATAGTGGTGACCTTTGACCGGATCTTTTGATCAACCAAGCGAGTAGCCGATCGACGGTGGATCTCCTCCGCGAAGGTGACCCGCTTGCCCCCGAGGGACGCTCCGAACTCCTCGGCGCGCAACCACGAATCACGCCACGGATAGGGCCCCCAAGCACGGGGATAGGGAAAGGTGTGGGTTCGTTTGGGCGACAACCAGGTTGAAGGCGCAAAAAGGGGGCCAAAGCAGGCCCGGGGCAGCACCTTTCTGCTTCATGTGATTTTCTTCCACCCCATCATAGTTTTGGAGGAGATAGCAAGATTACCTCCCAGAACTACTTATAACATAGTTTTGGAGGAGATGGGAAGAATACAGGAAGATTATCCCCAGAACTACTTATAACATAGTTTTGGAGGAGATAGCAAGATTACCTCCCAGAACTACTTATAACATAGTTTTGCAGGAGATGGGAAGATTACAGGAAGATTATCCCCAGAACTACTTATAACATAGTTTTGGAGGAAATAGGAAGATTACCTCCCAGAACTACTTATAACATAGTTTTGGAGGAGATATGAAGATTACCTCCCGGAACTACTTATAACATAGGTTTGGAGGAGATAGCAAGATTACCTCCCAGAACTACTTATAACATAGGTTTGGAGGAGATATGAAGATTACAGGAAGATTATCCCCAGAACTACTTATAACATAGTTTTGGAGGAGATAGCAAGATTACCTCCCAGAACTACTTATAACATAGTTTTGGAGGAGATGGGAAGATTACAGGAAGATTATCCCCAGAACTACTTATAACATAGTTTTGGAGGAGATAGCAAGATTACCTCCCAGAACTACTTATAACATAGTTTTGGAGGAGATGGGAAGATTACAGGAAGATTATCCCCAGAACTACTTATAACATAGTTTTGGAGGAAATAGGAAGATTACCTCCCAGAACTACTTATAACATAGTTTTGGAGGAGATATGAAGATTACCTCCCAGAACTACTTATAACATAGGTTTGGAGGAGATAGGAAGATTACCTCCCAGAACTACTTATAACATAGGTTTGGAGGAGATATGAAGATTACCTCCCAGAACTACTCATAACATAGGTTTGGAGGAGATAGGAAGATTACCCTCCCAGAACTACTTATAACATAGTTTTGGAGGAGATATCAAGATTACCTCCCAGAACTACTTATAACATAGTCTTCGAGGAGATAGGAAAATTACCTCCCAGAACTCCTTATAACATAGGTTTGGAGGAGATAGAAAGATTACCTCCCAGAATTACTTATAACATAGTTTTGGAGGAAATAGGAAGATTACCTCCCAAAACTACTTATAACATAGTCTTCGAGGAGATAGGAAAATTACCTCCCAGAACTACTCATGACATAGTTTTGAAGGAGATAGGAAGATTACCTCCCAGAATTACTTATAACATAGGTTTGGAGGAGATAGGAAGATTACCCTCCCAGAACTACTTATAACATAGGTTTGGAGGAGATAGGAAGATTACCTCCCAGAACTATTTATAACATAGTTTTGAAGGAGATAGGAAGATTACCTCCCAGAACTACTTATAACATAGGTTTGGAGGAGATAGGAAGATTACCTCCCAGAACTACTTGTAACATAGGTTACTACTTATAACATAGTTTTGGAGGAGATAGGAATATTACCTCCCAGCACTACTTATAACATAGGTTTGGAGGAGATAGGACGATTACCTCCCACAACTACTTGTAACATAGGTTTGGAGGAGATAGGAAGATTACCCCCCAGAACTACTTATAACATAGTTTTGGAGGAGATAGGACGATTACCTCCCAGAACTACTTATAACACAGTTTTGGAAAAAAAATAGGAGGATTACCTCCCAGAACTACTTATAGCATAGTCTTGGAGGAGATAGGAAGATTACCTCCCAGAACTACTCATGACATAGTGTTGAAGGATGTAGGAAGATTACCTCCCAGAACTACTTATAACATAGGTTACTACTTATAACATAGTTTTGGAGAAGATAGAAAGATTACCTCCCAGAACTACTTATAACATGGTTTTGGAGGAGATAGGAAAAGTACCTCCCAGAACTCCTTATAACATAGGTTTGGAGGAGATAGGAAGATTACCTCCCAGAACTACTTATAACATAGGTTTGGAGGAGATAGGAAGATTACCTCCCAAAACTACTTATAACATAGTTTTAGATTATCCCCAGAACTACTTATAACATAGTTTTGGAGGAGATAGCAAAAGTACCTCCCAGAACTACTTATAACATAGTCTTGGAGAAGATAGGAAGATTACCTCCCAGAACTACTTATAACAAAGGTTTGGAGGAGATAGGAAGACTACCTCCCAGAACTACTTATAACATAGTGTTGGAGGAGATAGGAAGATTGCCTCCCAGAACTACTTATAACATAGTCTTGGAGGAGATAGGGCGATTACCTCCCAGAACTACTTATAACATAGTCTTGGAGGAGATAGGAAGATTACCTCCCAGAACTACTCATGACATAGATTTGAAGGAGATAGGAAGATTAGCTCCCAGAACTACTTATAATACAGGTTTGGAGGAGATAGGAAGATTACCTCCCAGAACTACTTATAACATAGGTTTGGAGGAGATAGGACGATTACCTCCCAGAACTACTTATAACATAGGTTTGGAGGAGATAGGAAGAGAACCTCAAACAATTACTCTCCTGACTTAGGGACCTTCAACAGCCAGGTTTTGAGACCTCCGACAGTCTCCGGAATGTCCAATGCGACTGGGTAGATATAACAATTCTCCACAATCATGATGCACTAGGTGGCCGTTTGGACGAATAAATGGATTTCACCGGTGATGGTTTCCACTGGAAAAGGACACACGTGAGCCATGGTCAAAACTCGATTGGCCATGAGTGTTCGTACAATGCTGGTCTACATTCTGGATTCTTCCTCATATGGTCCATCACCACCCTACCAATGCCACTGGCCGCGCACATTTGCCAATGTAGTGCGGCCAACTCTTGGCCGCGGTTTCTTCAGCGATGGCTGAGTCACCCCAAAACCGAGCACGAGCGTAGGCAAGTGATCAATGTTGTAGGATTTCAAGGAAAACCAAAATAAATCGCCCCTCGTGTTGTAATTGTCTTGTTAGACTCTGCAAAACACTGAGTAAAGTACAGGGGAAACCCGGGCTCACGACTTTGGTAATCTGGTCTTCCTGACCTTCAAACACGGATTCTGTGAGGAAACCTTCATTGTTCGAAAGACAACCGTGATTGCGGTCCAGCCAAAGGGCCAACAAGCTGAGTGTGAATCTCAAAGGGAGAAGCCCAAGTCTGGCAACTGTGCCCCCTGATCCCTTTGAATTCAATCTCTCCCTGAAATACTGAAACAGTGTCTCTCAACGCGAGCAGAAACCCCCAAGGGTCTGAACCCCCGCAAACACACTTCGATTTGGACCAAGAAGATGATGCTTTGCAAAGTGAGAGTCGGAAAGCTGCTCGCCAGATGCTTCATGCTATATATCTCATCTGTAGTTAGTGATCGACTGCCTGTAAACTTGGCCGTATGGACGGTTCAGTCGCCCAAAAGAACCCGGAAACATGGGCTCACCTTTTTAAACCTTGTGAGACCGTAGGAAGCCCAACTTGGGAAATCAACATTGAGGACCACGAGGCATAGTTCCCAACATTTTCTAACCAGCATTGGGTGACCCGTTCAGTGGGTTCAATTGGCCAACCCAGAGGTTGTGTCAAAGGGGACCCTGGAAGATGGTGCGGGCTTCCCTTTTGTCATAAACTCCCAAGGGGGGTACATTACAACAAAATACACACACACACAATCCCAAGGGGGTGCTTCCTGTGCAAGAGTGATCTGGATGCCCTTTAATTGGGGACGCACCCCAGCAAGCAAGAAGGGGTGTTCATTACTTGATTACTTGGTCTTCGGTACAAAATGTGTTGTTGCCCCAAACTTATGGTTGGTGCATTCCCATGTTCATGGGTAGTTTGAGGGTCCAGGTACCCTTAAGATACACACACACACAAAATCCCAGGTCCTGCTTCTTGAGCAATCGCGTCTTGAAGTCCGTAGGCACCCTCTTGAGCACAGGGCGCACCTGCCAGCCCGCGCCATATCGCGCCATAAGACGCTCCAACTTTGGGGTGACCCCGTGTCCGCAAAACAACGTACTTTACAACACATCCAAGGGTGGTCCATTTGTACCCAACATGGCTCACACAAGAACACCACAGGCACCCTTCAAGGCTGCTGGAAGGATACATCTAAAAATCACCTTGCAGAAAACCATTCGGGGCTAAACGTTTTTTTGTTGTTTGTTTCTTTGTGTTTTTCGGGGAACTTGTTCTGCCCAAGGTGGAACCAAGGGCCCAGACGAGGAAAATGAGCTTCCAGGACCTCCCGAGTGCCATTTTGGATGGGAGGCTCAACCGCTAGCGCCAATGAACCACCCAGAAAAACTAATTCAGTCGACGCGACACCATCCAAAACGTGAACACTCCAATGTTGGAAATCTCACTTACTCATAGCTACCTACCAGTTCACCAGTTCACATGGCTTGGGCACCCTCATGGTGAAATTTGACCCGTTCTAGGATTCCAAAGTGGACCATCCATGTGACAAGTCTCACTTTCAACAGGGGCTCGTTTGTATCACAATAAACACATGGGCCAACCCGAAATGAGAACTTCGCCAAGAAAGGAACCATAGTCATATTCAAGAGTGCGTCTCTATGTGATGGTTTCCCCCAGCTTCAAAACAGCTCCAGCTGACGGGGATGGGCTCCAAACTGCTCAGGGATCGCCCCCCCTCCCCAACCAAAACACCGAAACCCCCCCCGCCTGAGCCGGCGGCTCGCGCGGCGGCTCGCGCGCAACAGCGCGGTCCGCCTCCTTCGGGTCATTCCGTTCCGGGCTGCGGAAGATTCCGCGCTGCGCAGCCACCTGGCGGCACGAGGGCTGCTTGTTCCGGCCCCCTTATCCGCCTAAGCCCCTGGGGGGGAGGCGGGGGAGGCGGGGGAGGGGGGAGGGGGGAAGGGGAGTGGGGGCTTGGCTTCGGCCTTTTGGCGTCTGGGAAAGCACAAAGCGAAGACGGGGCCATTATCCTCCATTTGCTGAAGCCCGTGGGGGGGGGAGTGATGAATTCCCTTGAAACCCAACAAGGCAAAAACGGCAAAAACAAAAAACAGTTAGGCAAATGGAAGTTATATATTCATAAGGTGACAACTGATTAGTAAACCGCCCCCCCTCCCCCCCCCCTTCAAGGTCGACAAGGTTTGGACAAGTCCCCAAAATTGAGATTTTTGGGAGGACCCCCCTGATTACTCTGGAGCCCCTTCGGTCCTCGTCCTCTTACCTCTGGTCCCTTCGGGGCAGTAGGACTTTAAAAGGCAACAGCACATTTTTTGGTTTTGAGCCCAAAAGGGCCCTGATTAATCGCGGGGGGTTTCCTGTTAATGAGGGGGGACTGGCCTCCAAGGGGGGTCCCCTTTGTGAGCTTGAAAACATTGTCATTTAAAAAAAAACAATAGTAAAGAAAAATGCATTTCGGGGGAAGCACATTTTTGGGAACAACTTGAGGGGTTCAATAGTGACTTAGTATTGGTGGGTTTAAGCACAGACTAAGCAAATACTAAGCAAGAAGGAAAGCACCTTTTCTGGCAGGTTTTTGTTGGCTTGGGGGCTGCAGAGGGATACCTTTAATCAGGGGGGGTTTTGGGGAGGGCCTAAAAATAATTGGGTAGGGTTTTTTGGGGAAACCTTGTTGGCACTTTACTTTAGTATTGGTGAGAATCTGGGGGGGAACAGGGGAAACCTTTAATCGAGGGGGTTTACTAATCGTCTCCTGACAGTACATGCATATATGAATATAGATATGCATATACTAGGTCCTCCAGTGGAGAGGTTAGAATAAGGGTACCAACTTTTTTTTTCTGTAGTCTATTTTAGTAGGGGAACCCTCCCAACCAAAAAGGGGGGAGAAAGGGCACCAATTGCTGGGGACCTAGTATATATCATCTCATGGCAACTGTTTGTCGGTGGCTTCGTGCTTGACGGGCGCACCAGGCCTCTGGCTCCACGAAGCAGCTGATGAGGCGCTCCGGCGTCACCGGAACATCCTCGCGGCACGCCGTGTGTGCTGGTACCGCCACTTCATTCCAAGACACTCCCGTGTGTATATGTATATATGTATGTATATACATGTCATATATATATATATGTATAGATACATACATACATACATACATATATATGTATGTATGTATGTATGTATGTATGTATGTATGTATGTATGTATGTATGTATGTATGTATGTATGTATGTATGTATGTATGTATGTATGAATGTATGTATGTATGTATGTATGTATGTATGTATGTATGTATATATGTATGTATAGACACATACATATATATATATATATGTATGTATAGATACATACATATATATATATATATATGTATGTATGTATGTATGTATGTATGTAGGTAGGTAGGTAGGTATGTATGCATGTATGTATGTATGTATGTAGGTATGTATGTATGTATGTAGGTATGTATGTATGTATGTATGTATATATATATATATGAATTTGTCTCATACAGTAGGGGAACCTCACAGCGGTGTTCCTTTAGGATTTCTTTCAAAGAATCCCAAAAGAGTATTCTCACAACAGACACACCCGAAAAAATGCCCTAATCGATAGGCTAAGGATCCCTGCCTGGTTCAGTGAATTTGTCCCTTGTTCAGTGACATCCTCAAAGCTTCCCTAAGTGGAAATCCCCTCAAAAGCGATTCAAAGAACCTCGGAAAAGGTTGCTCACTTCGTGAGTGGATTGGCCACCAAGAATCCAAACCTGTTATTTACCACTAGAATGGTCCAAGCCCAAAAGAAAGTCCGGGAACTCAGGAAGTGAGGCTATCACTTTAGGGACCTCGGACGAGAGGAAACAACGACGTGACAAGCACCGACCACGTCTTCCCATCCGAGGGTCCTCGATCTTGGCGCGGTTCGGGGAGGCCAAAGCAAGCACCTCCTTCTTCAAGGCTGCACGGTCCTCATTGGATCGGTCCTCCAAGGTTCGTTGCTGAAGCCAGGGCTCATGGCTTTTGAGGTGCCCATTGACAGTAAATACAGGTCTTTCTTAAAATAAGGGACCCCCTTTAAAAAAAAAAAATGAATGAAAATCGTGGCTTTCCTGTTGGTTTTCCTTTAAAAAACCAGAAACAAAGGAGTAGCTTCAAAAGCAGACACCGATCTCGGCCTTTGCGCAAATCTGTTCTGTGCGCTATGCAGTGGGTCCGTTGAAGATAGGTGCCTCTGGGCAAGGGTCTTGGATCCCTAAGATGTCCAAAGGCAAAGTATATAATGTTGACCCAGGATCTAAGCAGAACCCGTCCGATTATTAGGGGGGTGTTCCCTCCAAAAGTGGTCTAAATCCCCACTAAAAGGGGACACCCCCCTATTAATCAACTAGGGGTTTATTAATCCGGGAATAACATTACTTCCAAAGCCTGAAGTTGGAATCGGATCCCGGAAAGGGCTTTCTAAATTATACACCCAGGACCTACGCTCAGTTCTTTCCTGCAGCTATTGCATGCAACAAAGGCGCTCAACGAAAGCCATCTTTGTGAGAAGCCGAAGCCAATCCCCCGACCAAACCCGAAGTTCGAAGCCTTGCCCCAAAAACATGGTTTTTCCTTTGGCATCCCTCCCAGTGATTCCATTAACCTTTGTAGTAGGTAACCAAGGGAACCACCCTTTAGACAAAGGACATTTGTTGCTTCCCTATTACAGTTGCCGGCAACTGGGATCCAGTGCGCCGTTAACACCACCCCTTTCAGGGGAAGTTGGGAACAAATTTGCGGGGATACAGGGGGAAGCGGGGATGTCTGAGGATTCGCTTGTCGATGCACGCAGCTCTGCTTCCCCTCTGCTGCTTTGTTTGTCTGAGGCAAACAAAGCCCTCACGCCCAAAGCCTCACACCAGGGGCCTGTCAAAACCGAAGGTTGAATTGGAAACCCAACTACACCAGCTAAACACCACTCAAAAGCCTAAGTTGAGCCTCACGATTCGCTGGAAACCGCGAATCCGGAAAAGGGGTCACAGCTTCCTTCAAAACGCCCAAAACCCATGACCCTTTCAAAAGCAAAAGGACGCAACTTGTTGGTTACCTATAGTGGCCCTGGCATCCACGGAGTTGTCAAAACCACCCCAAAAAAGGGCATGATCAAAACCACGCCGCATGAAACCGAACCAGACGACATCGGGGTCGACCGAGGCAAAAAACCATGAAACGAAAATACAGCTGCAAGCCACTGCATGAGCCATGAGCAAGAAAACGGAGAAAAACCAAAGGGAGGGAAGAGAGTCTCCCCTCATACCTTGAAACAACCTCAAGCCAAACACATGGGCAATGGGCCGGTCAAACCCGACGCTCGCTCCTCGTTGGTTCGGTCCACCAGCGGCGCCCGCAGCGCCGGCGCCTCCACCTTCACCTCGAGCTTGTCCAAGTCCACGGCCTCTGGGGAGAAGTTCCAAACCCGAGAGGAGAAACCCGTCTCACGTTGCTTTGCTATATATATATATAGAGATGGGTATGGGTCAAAATTAAACCACCAGGGGACCGCAGGTTTGGGTCTTTGGCTCCATTTACCAGGGTTCTCAAAACGGGTACCTTTTTTTGATCCACAACCACATATATATATATATATACATACACATACTGTATATTGTAATGTACTATACGTACCCAAGGTGTGGAGTGGCTAGTGCTCAGCGTAGCAACTCTCTGTCGCTTCAAAAGAGATTCCTGGGCGCAGAAAGTGGCAACCTAAAACAACCATTTGGCACAGCAATGGGGGGTCATGGCCTTCCCTTTAAGGCTTTGTTCAGTGCATCTGAATCTATCTGGTTTCCCATTCACCTCCCGCTGGCCAGATTGTAGGTTTGTTGTTCAGGTTTGTTTCCGAAAAAGGAATCCACAGTTCAATTCCCTTCTCATCTCTCTTTCAAAGTGCCAACTTGAACTTCGATTCCTTGCCACCAACAATCCTCCTCCCCCCGCGATCCCCCCCCCCCCCCACAAAACCCCGCCTCGTTCTCTCGCCGCCGGAGGGGCGGCACGAAGGGCGTCTCCTTCCGCTCGCCGAACTTCTCGCGGCGCTTGCGGCTGGGGCTCAGCGCGCGGGGCGCCGCTGGACCGCCGAGGCCGCTGAGGCCGCTGAGGCCGCGGGGGGTGCCGAGGCGGAACTCCCGCGCGCTCTCCTGGCCACAGCTGGAGAAGAAAAACCCAGAGAAAAGGGAAGTCACCTCAGACTTTTTGGGGTAAGAACCAATTTGTGAGGATAATTTTGAGGGTTCAGGTGCTGCTGCCTTTGTTCCAGACACCTTGGTGTCATTTTTGAGGCTCGGTGTCCTTTGTCGGGTTTCTAGGGGGAAACCAAAAGGCACCAACGGATTTGAGGGGTCCCCTATTTTTAGACAAGCGCATTTTACAGGAAAACTCTTTCGAGGAGCTTTCAAAACATCCAGGGGAAAGTGCTTGAGCGATGATTGCGCATGCCCCCCGTGGCCGGGGTTGTCCTTCCTTTCATACCGTGGACACTTCGACTCAATGTTGCCCGGCTTTTTCCAGTGAAACGCCAACCTTGGGTGCAACAAATGCAGCCAGGGAAAAGGGCAACCAACAATGCTGGTGTCCAAATACTCTCCCGTGAGGCTTACTCGCTCGACTTGTTTGTCAGTTTGCCACTAAGCTTGTCTTCCCAAAACGCACAAAGTCCACAAACTCAAGGAGAAAGTTGCTCAAGGGGCTGGAAAAGCAAAAATCAGAACAGACCCGGGGCAAACCCCGCGGCCACGTCCCCCAAACCGGGCTCCGGGTGCCTGGTTCCGCGTCCCAAGTGGTAGAAATGATCGATCTTCCGCCCCCCCCCCCCCCCAAAAAAAAAGACCAGACACTGGGGGAAGGAGAGAGATTCCTTCCCCAAACATCTGTTTGGGAAGGGCCCACTCACGTGGAGGTGCACCCCCTCCAATGCAGCACAAACCCTTTGCACCCGTAACTACGGAAAAGCTTCCCCCCTCTTTAAGAGGCAACAGTTCCACATGAACCCTACTAATTTGAGAATCGACAAAAACAACATACATACAGATTCCATCCACAAAAAGAGGACGTTCCATCTGGTAGGGTCCTCCGGACTAGTCTGCCTTAGAGACTATATTAGCAAACCTGCCTGAACCGGAAATTCCTAAGGACCTCCATGATGGGCGGCCTCGTCTTACCCGGAGCAGATTAGCCCAAGAAGCACCAAGCAAAAACGGGCACTTGTTGAATAAGGGCATAGTAGATCACAAAGGGGGGACGGGTGTGGTGGGTAATTAAACAGGAGCTGCAGTGAGCCTAGGTTCTCGCCCGCCTTGGACACATATTTTAACAACATGTCCGAAAAGTCGACACACCAACATCTAAAGGTGGTTGAATTGTTCCTAAATACCAAATGAGGGCACTGCGTGTTCTAATTGGCTTTGAAGGTGTTCCATTTGAAACTGACCCTTAGTGGACCATGGGCTTATTAACAAAATCGGCACGCATTTTCTGGTGCTTGACTATCAAGGGAAGCCGCCTCCAAGAAAAGGAACAAAGGGGGCGTCTGGGAACACAGTGACTTCCAGTTGCTCAAGTTCCTTGAAAACAAATCCAGCAGTGTTAGATTCCTTTGAAACTAACAGAGGAATATGACCATGGGTCAAAATCCCATACCCCTAGTGAATATCCCAATCCAACCACTAAAGGTGAATTCACCTACCCCAAGATGGGATCCCATTGGTTTTTGACAACCACAGCCATATGACCCATCCCTTTGAAACCAACAGAGGAATACCTAGAACACCCGGAGTGCAGTTTTCCACGGAAAAGCGGAAAAAAACAGACTTGGGAAGACCCAGGCATGACAAATAGGTACCCGCAGTTGAACCCTGGTAAATGGAAACAAGGGCTAACAGCTGTGGTCCATATCCTGGTGGTTAATTTTGACCCAGATCCATACGACTCTATGACCCATCTTCAGCAAATGGACGATGAGTACTCCAGCCCCGGGCAGCTAACATCCCCTCCTCCGCTTTGGCCCGCAGCTCTTGCTCTCGGATCAGCTCACGTTGCCGCTCCCTGCGCTTCTTGTTTGGAGCAAACGGTCCGGACGGAGGTTCACGGGGACACAAAAACAACGGCACTCCTTTTCGGGAGGAAAGCCGCCAAGAAGTGAGTTGGAAACCCTTTCTCTCACCGAATTGTGGTAATTTTGGGGCACGTGTAGCCAATTCATTTACTCTGTTGACGTTGGAAGGGGAGAAAAAACTAAATTTTAGCGGTTAAGTGGGGATTTCCCACTAAACCACAATAAGCAAAGATGGAAAAATGTTGCCCAACAACAACCATGTTTACTTGACAACTGATTACGATTGCTCAAATCTCTTTTGCCCGAAGGGACCCCAAAATTGAAGAACGGGACCTACATTGGAAGATCCTGGTTGCAAGACCTGGCCTTTTGAGGAACCAAGATGTGCAAACATTGCGGCAACCCCTCACAAAAATGGCGTAGAAACTGGGGTCACTGGATTTTATCTTCACAAGTTGATCATTTTACTGGTGGTTACTGGTTTTCATTAAAACAAAACTTTTGGAGGTTCCAAAAACGGAAATGGAGGAACCTCTGATAGAGTCCAGTTCAAGTAACATGAACATTGGCGACAATATATTTCGTGCAGAGGGCGCGTCGCGGAAGACCGGGCCATGGCAAACCGCTTCAAATACAGAGGGAAACGAAAAGGCAGAATGCTTAAGTTGCCAGACCAAACGTGTTTTCTATTTTTCAATGAGTGATAGATTCATTTGAAACCAACGGGGGAAGCTGAAAACGAAATTTAAGCCACCGGACGCACGCTTGTCAAGCTTAAGGACCTCACTGGAACCTTCGCCTCACGAGCGGATTGGCCATCCCAAGTCTCAAGTCCATTCGGCTCAAATTAGTCCCTTCCGACGGGAAATCCCTTTGATTGACCTTGGAAGGGGACCGGACCGGCGGGCTTAAGGCCAAAAATGGTGCCTCCATCCGCTGACCAGTGGACTCTGAGTTTTTGGGCTGACTTTTTTGGGGGAATCCTCTCCGAGAAACTTGGCTGACGTTGGAAGGGGAGCAAATCAAAATAACAATTAGCAGTTCACTGGGGATTTGGATTTCAACCACTAAACCACAAGAAGCAAAAATGGGAAAGATGTTGCCCAACGACAACATTGAGGCGAGAAAACTCCCGAAAGGCCCAAAAACCATCAAACTCCTGGAATCAAGTTCCGCAAGGCCCAAAACCAAGGCCTGGAAATAATCTTTCGGGACCAAAAGACAGAAAGTGGACCAAACCGCCAAGATCAAAAGGTCGATTCGCTCTGGGCAAGTGAGAAAAAGTATAGATGTTCAGATGTTGTTTCATATGTAGAGTGAGGGGGTTCGCTCTACCTGGACGCTCCCAATACCAGGTCCACAAAAAAAAAACAGCCAGGCTTCGAGACACCCGAACCCCAAAGTGTCCAATGCCCGAGCATTCCACCGGAAGCTCCGGGCAACAAAAAACACCCAAACCAGCATGGTGCACTGGGCTTGCTGTTCTGCAAATGCAGTCTGGTTTTCTGACAACCCCAAACTGAAATCAGGGGAAATCAAACATAGTCATGTTCGCAAAGAAGGAAGACCAAATCAAACCATCATATTGCTGCCATGTCCTTGCAGAACTCCAATAGGCAGCGCCCAAAGGCTCAGCTTGGATACCCTGACCAGCTAGTGAAAAGCACTCAGATCATAGGTGTCCTTTTTGGAAAATAGATTGCCCTGGTAGATGGAAAGAGGTAAACCAGGGCCCTCGATTATTTTCAACCAAAAAGGACACACATGACCCAGGACCAGTCAACCAGACCAGCTAGTGAGTTCGGCTCCCCAACCAGACCTAGTGAAAAATGCCCCCAAATGCTTGGATGCTGTTGACCCCTCTGCAAAAAGTTGAACTTGTTGTGGGTTTAATGGACAATGTCCCTCGAAATCCCAAAAAGCTAAAGTCTAAAGATCCGTTACCCAAGAGCAAACAAGGATGGTTCCCGTTTGAACCACCTCCCGGTGTCCCAAGGGGAAGGCCCGCCTCAGTTGCTCCACCAGCGTGGAGCTCTGTTGCTTCAGCTCCGACTGCGCCTCGCGAAAAGTTGTGTGTTTTTTTTTCCCGAGAAGCACGCGGTTTCCGCCGCGGCGTCGGCGCTTCTTCCGCAAGAGGAAGACGTAGGGAAAGAGGGACAAAACGCTGGGAAACATGGAGACACATTGGGAAACATGGGGAAACATGGATGGGACACATAGGGCAGAGAGAATGGGAAACAAGGGGAACATGGGGAAACATGGGGAAACATGGGGAAACATGGGGAAACATGGGGAAACATGGGAAACAAATAGGGAAACATGGACAAAAGCATACGGGGATCATGAGGAAAAAAAGGGGAACATTGGAAAACGCGTATAGGAAAACATTCACGAAAGCACAGCCAGTGCTAGGCAAGCCACTGCAGCAACCAGGGGAAACCATCCATGGTACAGCCTAGAAGCAAAGAGCCCTGGGTACCCTGTGGCAGCTGAAAGCACCGGGGCACCATGGGGCAAAGAGGAACACATGGGGAAAAACACACAGGGAAACATGGGACACATAAGACAACAGAGAACATAGGAACACATTGCACAAATATGGGGAACCCACAACGAAACGTCCGGAAACCCAAAAGGACATGTCCAAAGGGAAACCACAAAGGAAACCAACAACTGGGTTCAAGACCCTGGCAGGCATCAAGTTGGTTTTTGGCAAAGGAAACCCTGCTTGCCACTTCTCTTGCCCGAATCAATGAACAAGCGGAACCAAACGAGACTCAATTCCTGAGTAGATGGCCAAAAGAACAAAAGTCCAACCACTTGATAAACTGGTCTTTCCAAAAAGGCATAAAGTTCAGGAACTCAGGGTGTGAGAAGCCCACAACTTGTTTCGTGGTTCTGGTTCGCGACCCCTCGCGCGAGCGGAAGGAGCCGCAAAGACGGCAACACGTGAGTTGAAATCAAAGCTGGTATTTGTTTCCTTTGTTCAACCATTGTTTCAAAGACTAAAATACACAAATATGTTTAAAGGTTATTTGGAGGTTATTTAGAGGTCAGTCAGAGGTTATTTAGAGGTCAGTTAGAGGTTATTGGAGGTTCTTTAGAGTTCTACCCAAAAGTATGCAAGGAATAGAAAAAAGGCGGCTCCGCCCATTTCTGGCTGGGGCAATCTCCTACTAACCTTCATCTACCCGAATCCGTTTTGAGGACGTGGCTTAGCAGCTGAGCAACTTGGGTCGGCATCGAAAGCCGCCTTTTCGGAGAGAGCCAGTGTTCAAACGACCAGACACTGGCCCTCTTCTCTTCGAAAAGCGACGGGAAGCTGCTTGGAAAATGGGTGTCCAAACATGTGTCCCTTCAAAACTGGGCTATCCAAACTGATCCCCTGCTAAGAGTGACTAACTTGTGGGTTAAAGAACCCAACCTCTAAACAAACTGTAAACAACTGAAACACCTAAGCAATCGGACGTTTTGCTGGGAGCCGCCAAGATGTGTTTACAAAAATGGCTGGATTCTATTTGCAAGCTTAGTTCCTAGATGCTTAGTTACATTTTTTTTGCTGAGTTGGTCACCTCCTTGTGTTTAAACACGCTTCCCTTCAAAGAACCCGACAAAAAGATGTGTCAAAACAGAGCTTGGTCCAACATGTCCAACCTCCGGGGAAACCGACAACCGTCTTTTTTGAGACGAGTCGTTCTGAGCCAGCCTTCTGTGCTTCTGCCAGCTCTCGTTTGGCTTGGTCCAGCCTGGGGAAGACAAACAAGGAGGAAGAAACGTGCGACCCAAAATGGCCTCTAACAATTGGGCACCGAAACCCTCAAATTTCCCTTAAAAAGGGGTTGTTGTCCCAAAATACAGGCTGGGGAATTCCCTTTTCTGTGGGTAGTTTGACTGTCCAGGTAACTTTTGGATGCTACGCACATGATTGCAAGCCTTCTAGAACCTCTTTTGGAACCTGTTGAACGGCCTCTGAGAACCTTTCTGGCAAAAGAGGCGTCCCGATGTTGTCTCTCCGCACTGGCCCAACAGACCAAATCGGAAAGGTCAACCTTCCGCACCTTGACTGAAACTGGTCCAGAATCGGAAA